CTCTTATGTATCCCTTAGCTTGTGATTTGTGAGTTTCCGGGTTTTGGAAATTTTGTTAGCTTCGAGAATTGTTGTGGTATGTGCCGAGCGGCACCTTAAATACCGTTTTATTTTACTAGTTCAGTTTTATTTACTTTCTTCCGCAATTATGGTTTATCTTCCACATTGTTAGGCTTACCTAGTCGTAGGGACTAGGTGCCGTCACGACATGTTCACGGAGGGCGAACTGGAGTCGTGACAAGTTGTACGTGGTGGCCTGGTCCATGATGTGGAATGTCATCTCTAGAGTCACACCGCCGGCCAAGATAGGGAGTGTAATTTCCCCAGATGTCCGTTCAACTGCATTATTAAAACCAGTTAGCGTGATGCAACGCAACACTATCTTATCCTCGAGTCACATTTGGGTAAGGACTCGGGGATGGATAATGCATGATCTACTTCCATCATCCACCATGATGCGTTTTACATCGGTATCCAAAATGCGTAAAGTAATAACGAGGGCGTCATTATGAGGAAAAGTTAAACCGTCGGCATCCGACTCATCGAAGATGATACTTTCTTCGAATCCGTTGTGCCGTTCGCGGGTGATAGACCGCTTGAGCTTGTGAGTGGTGGTGAACTTCACGCCGTTGATGAAGGCGTCGTCGTCGTCACCAATGATCATGTTGATAGAACGAGCTAGTGACTGCGGTTTCGACGGGCCTTGGTGTTCGCGTCTTCTGGCAAAATTGGTTCTCCCCTTGTTGCTTAACAGCTCTTTAAGGTGACCCTGCTGCAACATGTTTACGACTTCTTGTGTGAGGGCGATGCAATCTTCAGTTTTGTGCCCACATTTCTGGTGGAACCCATAGACGACGCCAAATTGTTTGACCACACACACACACACACATATATATATATATATATATATATATATATATATATATATATATATATAGGTTCAACTAATTAAATTTATATAAATGAGGGTTAATTTTAGTCAGCAATAATATTCCAAAGATGAAGTTCTCTGAAATGCAATAAATACTATGTAGATATATTTTAATAGCAGCGGCAACACTCAACCAATATTTAAGAAGTCAAAGGAAATGATGTAGCAGTAAATAATGATGAATAGCAATAAATGACACTTAACTAAATAGAATGAATGAGTCACCCAAGAAATGATGGAATTGGTGAATGTTCTTTCTGACAATGATGAGTGATGGACGGCCCTTTGAATATCCGAGTTATTCTCGGATCCAGTGGAAAAGTGCACACAAGAATCTTCGTGAAAAGGTTGTGTTTGTATGCTTTCAATAAGATCCGATTCTCTCCTTTAAAGTCAAAGTGTATTTTATAAATGAATATCACATGCTCCCTATCAGGAACATGTTCCTAAAAACCCTAACAGTACAAATGCAGAGAATATCCACTAGAATATTCTCTATTATGTCCTATTTTAAAACTAGGCGTTATAACTCTCTCAAGGGTACTCGACCTCGGCCTTGATTCTTGATGACTCTTTGGCTTCAGCCCTTGCTGACTCTTCGACCACGTACTTCACTTTTTTTTAGATTTCTTCGACAAGTGACAGCTGGGAACGTTCCACCAATACTATTTTGATTTAAGTATTCTAAAGATAAATTTTGACTCATTACAATAATAAAGAAAGAATTAGTATAAAACATCCGGGCCATTGAAACTTTAACTGCACACGTGGCATACATCTAGATAGCCCTTGAAAATTACTGGACATTACATTACTCAAGGAGATCCTATCCTGTTCCCCGTGACCTAGAGCTTCAACCATTCTGGGCTTAGTCGTAGGGTCCACTGGTTTTGTAAGAGCCGGTGGGCCCATTCAAGGAGCCGGTTATGAGCCGAACAGTGGATCTGTGGGCTTAGCTTTTCACATGGCCTTTGCTCATAAAATATTAAATATGCCCTAATCCCATGCCAACCAATCATAGGCTTCGTACCACGTGGGCCTTACGTCCCCATCAACAGAATGACATCACCTGATCTCTATCTTAATTTAAAATTTAAAACTCCTGTTTTGTAATTTAGTTGGAGCAATATATGTATCCTCTTTCCGCAATGAATACTCCTCGTGCCCATGCTTTCGTTTAATATTTTGATACATCACTTATAAGAAAAATATTTGCTAGTTCTTGCCATTAAATCTCTTTTTAAATATTCATTTAATTGATCTTTTATCTCACAAAAAATTTAAGGCAAAATTTGCATACACCTTACCGGGGGCGGATTTAGGGGGCGCAAGGGTGTTTACTCGAACATCCTTCGCCGAAAAATTACACTATATATATAAAGCAAAATTTGTTTTTTACCTTTATATATTAAGTTTTGAAAAACCTTAACACAATCCAAAAGTATAGTTTAGTGGTCAAGGGGGTTCAAAATTTACATAAGGTGATGGGTCCAATTCCCACTAGCTACAAAAAAAATTTTTGAACCCCCTTCGTGGAGATCCTGCCTCCGCCACTGTACCTTACCCTTCTCGGATACTATTTGTGAACAACGGCGTAACCAGTGTAGAGGCTATAGGTTCATCAGAACACATAGCTTTTGCGTATACCTTATATTTTTGTTCAAAATTATTAAATATGTATAAATAATAAATTTTAAATCCATTAAATTAGATGAGATGTGATAGAATTATAAATTTGAATCCGTAAAGTTCAAATCTGCTTGTGGGATCACACTAAGTATGTTGTTATTATGTTTGTTGAAGCTTCTATTAATTGAACATTAAGAAAGATTTGAAAAAAACATGAAGCGAGTTGAGTTTGCTAAAACAATTACTCGATTTATTATCACTAGTATTGTTTAAGGATTTAAATAATTTTTTATTTTAATTTTCACAATTCTTAGATGTATTTTAGCTATAAAAAAAGAAATTTATGATATTTCTTTATAATTGTGCTTGTAATATTAAAAAAAATTGATTTTGGACGGTAAGCATCATTTTCCATAATAAAATACAAATATTTTTATATTTGTTTTCTCGTGTCACTAACATATGCCCACCTTTGCCGAATAGTCTTACACCCCAAATGTAGCTTTAGCATTTTTCTTTTAATGGTAAAATCTAGTTGTTTCTTCTACAAAATTAGAACCCTACTTCTCTCTCTTTCTTTATCCCTTTCTCCATCTTTCTCATAGTTTCTACTCAAATGCTTCTCCTCTTCTTGATACAGAAAAAAAAAAAGTAACTCAAGTAGAGAGAGAGTTCTTGTTTTTTAAATTTTGATTTAAAAGTTATTTTTTATTTCTTGATTAATTAGATAGCAATGAGCGACTCTTCTGCTCAGTACATCCACATGGTAAGTTTTAGCATCTTCTCTTCTAAGTAATAATTTCTTTAAGAGTTAAAGTTATATAAGTGTTAATTAGTGTTATCAGATTATCTTTATTTATTGTAGTAGGTAATCTGTCTTATGTTCAAAATTACAAATATCATATTTTAAGAAGATTATTTATAAATATCTTTTGAATTACTTGATAGCGTAAAATGTTTCTTAAACTGATAATATATACTACTATAACTTAATTTTTTTCTTTATCATCTTCTTCTCCTATTTCTTTTAAGTGGTAATTAAGGTTTAAGCAGGTGATTATATATAATGATGGAGGTAAAATACTTGAATTTCCTAATTAATGAAGAAAGGGGTGGTAAATTAATGCAGGTGCAGCACTTGATAGAAGAGTGTATAATATTCAAAATGAGCAGAGAAGAATGCATGGAAGCACTCTCCAAACATGCAAATATCCAGCCTATTATTACTTCCACGGGTAAATTTTTTTTTTTTTTGCTTTTTTTTAAAACCTTTTTTTTTTACTTTTTATTTTTTTGCTTATATTTTTCCTTGTTCTTTGGTTTTTTTTTTGTGTGTGTGTGTGTTTTTTGGGGGGGTTGTTGGGGGAAAATATACTGATTGCACAAAAGTTATGTATAAAGATAAATTTATAATTCTTTTCCCTTTTAATACTTATTTTGTTCAAAGCTTCATTTGCCTGAGAAGTTGAGCAAAGTTCAAACTCACACTGGAACAATATGAGTTTGATTAGGAAGAAAACATGTGCACGTGGGAATGAGTGGATATTTGTTTGGTTTATTTTGGGTTTCTGATGAGGATAAACTTTCCATTAAACCAGCATACATTTTCTGATCAATGGCACTTTTATGTTTACTTAGTTTTAGAGTAGAAGTGATAAATATATTTGAATATGTTGAAGATATAAAAATCTTTCCAAATAATGTTGTTATTATCATGTGATCAGGAAGTCACGAGCCGTGAGAATAACCTTTTACAAAAAATATAGGGTAAAGTTGCGCGTGCAATAGACCCTTTGATCCGATCCTTCCCCGAACCCCGCGCATAGTTAGAGCCTAGTGCATTAGTCCTTTATTATTATTTAGTATGTATAGGAGTTTTTGTCCTTTTCCATTTTCTTTCTGGCCATGAGGTAAGAAACTCCAAGACTAATTTAGCTATATTATATTTCATTTCAAAAGAAATTGTTCTAAAGTTCTTAGACTATTCTACCTATAGTTTATTAGTATAGTTTTAATCAATTGTATATATGCAGTGTGGAAGGAGTTGGAGAAGGAGAACAAAGAATTCTTTGAGGCATACAATAAAACGAGAGAGGAAAAATCATCAATATTATCAGCAGAATCACAATTGGAGAAGACAAGACAAAGAATCCATAATATGTTGTTGGATTCTTCCTCTAAAGATTCCAATGAAAAGTAAATAGTAGATTTTTCAGAAAGACTGGCTTCTTCTCTATCCAGTTGGGGCAATGATGTTTGATGTAAACTTTCAAAACTAGCTCAATGGTTAGTTTCATGTACATTAATTTACAACTCAAATGGTTCTATTTTCTAGGGTGTAATAAAACAAAGAGATAGGGTTCAAAGGTAAGGTGGTCCTAGGTTGTCTTATTCCTACGTATGAAATAAATTTGTTGGGGTGTGTGATGTTGACTTAGCAAAAATGTTTGACACGTTATTGCCATGTTGTCTTAGTTGGCATTGCCTTGGTCGTCCACGTGGATTCGTTATATTAGTCCATGCATGTTATCGTCTTTGTATTATGGTTCTTGTCAGGGATATCTGGATGTGTTTTGTGGTTTCACTTCATTATTTTCAGCCTCAACTATATGTGTGTGTATGTACAGAAAAAATAGAAAATGTGAGCAAATTAGTAAGCAACTTATCTCAATGAATTAATCGGTGTTCCAGCATTAAAAGACGTAATTCCAAGAGTTTCAAAGAAAATGGAAGTTAAGAGATACATAGCTGAGGAAGAATTGTCTAAGAAAATAAATTCACTACTAATACAAGGAGATCAAGAAGATCTGCGTTAGGGGGTAGATTTATAGTCCAATATATGGGGCACGTGAATTCATTATCTCTCCGCCAAAATAGGTTTTTTATGCATATAATTTTTAGAATTGGTTGTATCGGTGGAAATCGGGGCTATCCGATTTCATTCTTTGGTCCAGATAGGAATGTCACGTCAAAGAGCTAGGACGTCGAGTCCGGGCCAAGGTCGACCTCGATTGCGGACAGAAAGAGGCAGACTTCGAGTGACACCGGCATGGCTTGATAACGGAAAATGCGAGATATCTGTAATTGGTCGAGAATAGTGGCGTGGATCTCGGAACAGAACGATCTACAGCGGTTAATTAGATGTTAATATGACTTCCTACTATAATTAGAAGTGTACCTTGTTTAGAACTCCTCAATTATATAAGGAGGAATCCCATTCATTTGTAAACTAATAAGAATACACACATCCACTGCTCTTTTTATCTTGCTTACCGTTCGTTATTGTTCATCATTGTTGTTTCATTTCTTTACTGTTATTATTATTGCTCTATCTCGAGACCGTCTTGAATCGAGGTCAAGACTCCACTCGCATACTGGTTTGATCTATCCTATCTCCTAATTTATCTATTTAATTCCTTGTTTATCAATTGGTATTGGATTGAATCACATATCCTTAAATCCACAATATAAGTTTAATTGTTACCCGAATTTTAGGGTAAACAGTTTTGCGCCAACCGTGGTGCTAAGGATAATAATGATTGTTCGGTGCTGATTCTGATAACACGCTTGTTCTTGTCAAGGATATTTGCTCTCAGGTTAAAACATGTCGAACTCACAAAACGCACCCACACATGGTGATGATGGTCTCGGGTTTCACGGGAAAAACGATAATGTAATTGCTCCAGGAGCTGGGGTGCCACCGGCTAATCTCGGGGGAGCACCGGTTGCCGATCCTGTCGATGTCAGTTTGCACGTTGCTCTAAATGCGGACCTAGGCGCGGACCCCGAAGGGAGTGTACGCAGGGAAGGCCGATCTGGTGGTCAAGGTACACGGGGCAGGGGAGATGGAGGAGTTAGTGTCCAGGTGATATTCGAGATGCTACAGGCTCAGCAGGCCGCTATTGCTCACCTACAAAATCAACATAGAACTCCGAGTGGGGTTGAGCCTGAAATCACACGTTGTACCGAGCCAGTGCCAGAGAGGTCGAATGGTAACGGATCGGGGACCAATCCTGCAATAATGAAAATGCTCTAGGAGCTCACCAAGAGAATCGAGTCATGGGAGAAGAAAATTGAAGCTAATGATAAAAATATGGAGACATACAACTCTCGAGTTGATCAAATATCGGGGGCACCGCCAATCTTGAAAGGGATGGATTCGAAGAAGTTTGTACAAAAGCCGTTTCCTCCAAGTGCGGCTCCGAAGCCTATTCCAAAGAAGTTTCGTATGCCAGACATACCCAAATATAATAGGACCACCGATCCCAACGAGCATGTTACTTCATATACATGCGCCATCAAGGATAATGATTTAGAAGATGATGAAAGCGAATCTGTGCCGTTGAAAAAGTTCGGAGAGACCCTTTCGAAGGGAGCAATGATTTGGTATCACAACCTGCCACCAAATTCCATAGACTCATTTTCCATGTTAGCAGATTCTTTCTTATAGGCACACTCCGGGGCCATAAAAGTCGCAACAAGAAAATCGGACCTTTTCAAGGTAAGACAAAGGGATAACGGAATGTTGCGGGAGTTCGTATCCCAATTTAAAATGGAACGCATGGAGTTGCCACCGGTCACAGATGATTGGGCCGTTCAACCTTTCACCCAAGGGTTGAACGAGTGGAGTTCGATAGCATCACATCAGTTGAAACAAAATTTGATCGAGTATCCAGCTGTAACTTGGGCAGATGTGCACAATCGATATCAAACAAAGATCAAGGTCGAGGACGACCAATTAGGAGCCCCTTCCGGTTCAGTATATCCAAATAGGTCGGCAGTTAAAACCCAGAGGGACGTCGACAGGGATCCAAGGTTGAACAGAGAACGATATCAACCATATACCGCAGATCGAAGGAACAAAGGTTCAGGATGCAATTCCGCCCGGAACGATTGAAGAAGTGATCGAGGACAGAATTCTCAGGGACTTATGAGCAAAAGTGGTTTTGATAAGTATGCCGATCCCACAGAGGCACCTCAGTTATCGGAATATAACTTTAGCATCGACGCATCGGGCATTGTATCGGCAATCGGAAGGATCAAAGATACTAGGTGGCCCAGACCAATACAGACCGATCCTTCCTAAAGAAACCCAAATTTGATGTGCAAGTATCATGTCACGCATGGTCACATGAATGAGGATTGCAGGCAATTAAGGGAGTAGGTAGCCCGTCTATTCAATGAGGACCGACTTCAAGAGTTCCTCAGCGATCGAGCCAAGAATCATTTCAGAGAAAAGGACGCCAACAGGAAAAATGAACAGGAGAAACCCCAACATGTCATTCATATGATCGTCGGTAGGGTCGACATTCCACATAGACCCATATTCAAACGCACTAAGGTATCAATCACTAGGGAAAAACGAACCCGAGATTATGTGGCCGAGGGCTCCTTATCATTTAACGACGAAGAAGCTGAAGACATTTCTCAGCTCAACAACGACGCTCTGGTAATTTCTATCTTATTACATAAAGTTCAAGTTAAGCGTGTTTTAGTGGATCCAGGTAGCTCAGCGAATATCATCCGATTGAGGGTCGTGGAGCAGCTCGGCCTACAAGATCAAATCGTGCCGCAGCTCGGGTCTTAAACGGCTTCAATATGGCCATTGAAACAACTAAAGAGGAGATTATTCAACCGGTGAACGTGGATGGAACCATTCAAGATACCAAGTTCTACGTGATCGAGGGCGACATGAGGTACAATACCCTACTCGAAAGGCCTTGGATCCACAATATGAGGGCAGTCCCTTCGACTCTCCGCCAAATGATGAAATTCCTGACGCAATACGATATAAAAACAATATACGGGGAGCAACATGCTGCAAAGGAAATATTTGCGATCGATGAGGTAACACCGATATCGATGTTATCAACCACGGAAAGGTCGAGCATCAAAGGTAAACAGGAAGCCAAATAATAATCATAGCCATCGGCCTCGATCGAATTGGGGAAGCAGGAGATAGAAGAAGAAGAGGAGGATTTTCTAACCCCTCGAACTTTTATTGTTCCCAAAGATTCTGACGCCACCAAATCAACGGTCGAAGAGCTAGAACAGGTTATATAGATCGAGTACCTGCCCGAGAGAAAGGTATACCTAGGAACGGGATTGACCCCCAAACTCAGGAAAAAGCTTATTCAATTTCTTATTGATAACATAAATTGTTTTGCTTGGTCCCATTTAGACATGACAGGGATCCCACCGGAGATAACGACGCATCGGCTAAGCCTGGAACCTAGGTTCAAACCGGTGAAGCAAAAGAGAAGACACCGGTCCGAGGTAAAGCACGCATTCAAAAAGGACGAGGTAACTAAACTTTTCAAAATAGGGTCCACTCGGGAGGTGAAATATCCCGAATGGTTAGCCAATGTAGTCGTAGTACCTAAAAAGGGGAACAAACATAGAATGTGTACGGATTATAAAAATTTAAACAAGGCATGCCCTAAAGATTCTTTTCCACTGCCTAACATCGATCGCATGATTGACGCCACGGCTGGCCACGAGATCCTTACCTTTCTCGATGCCTATTCTGGGTATAGTTAAATTCAAATGAACCCGGAAGACCAGGAAAAGACTTCATTTATCACCAAGTATGGAACATATTGTTATAATGTAATGCCCTTCGGGCTAAAAAATGCAGTAGCTACTTACCAATGCCTAGTAAATAGAATTTCGAAGGATAAATTGGTAAGTCAATGAAAGTTTATATCGATGACATGCTAGTTAAGTCCCTACGTGCAAAGGACCATTTGGCTTATTTGCAGGAAACGTTTGTGATTTTGAGGAAATATAACATAATGCTCAACCCCAAGAAATGTGCTTTCAGGGTCGGTTTGGGCAAATTCCTGGGCTTCATGGTGTCGAATCGGGGGATCGAGATCAACCCCAATAAAATCAAGGCCATCGAAGACATTACCGTCGTGGACAGTGTAAAATCTGTACAGAGGCTGACTGGACGGATAGCTGCTTAGGCTGATTCTTCTCGAGGTCATCGGATCAAAGCCACGGATTTTTCTCTCTACTAAAAAAGAAGAACGATTTCACTTGGACCCCGGAATGCAAACAAACATTAGAGGAATTCAAGCGATACCCATCGAGCCCACCACTCTTCACACTCCAAAGGCATATGAGAAACTTTACTTGTACTTGGCAGTATCGGAAATCACAGTAAGTGGTGTCCTAGTTCGAGAAGAGCATGGTACGCAATTTCCCGTTTATTATGTAAGTCGAACCTTAGGAGAAGCAGAAACTAGATATCCACACTTAGAGAAATTGGCACTTGCACTGATAAACGCCTCTAGAAAGTTGAAACCATACTTTCAATGTCACCCCATATGCGTGTTAACCACTTACCCACTTCGTAATATTTTGCACAAGCCCGAACTATCGGGCCGATTGGCCAAATGGGCTGTCGAACTCAGTGGGTACGATATCGAGTATCAACCCCGAACGGCCATCAAGTCTCAAATTTTGGCGGACTTCATGGCCAATTTCACGCCAACCCTCGTACTCGAAGTTGAAAAAGAACTCTTGTTAAAATCAAGCACATCTGCGGGGGTATGGACTCTTTTCACAGACGGTGCTTCGAATAC